AAAAGCTGTCTGAGTGCTGCTAATGCAAGAGTCAAGGCACACTTTCAGTCTTTCAGCAAGAATCTTGGCCACAATTTTGTAAAGAACCCCACACAAAGAGATTGGTCTATAATTGCAAAGAGATTCAGGATACAAGCACTTTGGGATCAAAGTAATAACTGTGTGCTTCCAATTTTTCAACATTTTCCCATTCAAGAAAAAACTTTGGACAGCCTTACATACATCATCTTTAATGATATGCCAGAAGTGTTTAAAGAAAAAGACAGACATACCGTCCTCCCCTGGCGCCTTATCAGATTCCATTTGGAACAGAGCCCCTTTAACCTCCATCTCTTCCACCGGTAAAATAAGATTATTATTCAATTCATCAGTAATGGAACAAGGGATATGCTGCAACATCTCATCTTCCTCAGAGCTTCCATCAGAAGCAAACAGATTTGAATAGAAACCTTCCAGATGATGCACAATTGATTCTTTAGAAGCACAAATAACTCCCTCTCCAGTCACCAGCCTCTGAATTGAGTTTGATTACCTTCTTTGGGCCACAACCGCATGAAAAAATCTGGAATTTCTGTCCCCCTCTTTAAGCCACATGGCCCTAGATTTCATTCTCCAGTAAACCTCTTCTTCTTGATGGGCCCTATCCAATTCAGCTTTCAGATCAGACCATTCTTCCCAATTTCTTTCATGAACACCCTTTCTCAGTTCTTCCAACTTCACAGTAAGACTAAGAACAGCCTTCTCACTGTTTCTGTGAATCGGTTTGTGCCAGGCTAACAAAGCCATTCTAGTGCTTTTTATCTTCTGGTGAACTTGGTACATCGCAGATCCGTCAACCGCAATTTGCCACCCAGCTTTAACAGCATCTTGAACCCCATCAACCTTTGCCCATAATTTATCAAAAGAAAATCTCTTCTTGCACCTCCCAATCTCCATATCAGTATCCATCATCAACACATTGTGATCCGACGTTGTTCTATAGAAATTCACCACCTCCATCTTTGGGTAAGTCACCATCCAGTCATAAGAAGTGAAAATTTTATCAAGCCGTTCCTCAACATACCCATCACCCTCTCTGTTATTCCCCCAAGTGAAGAAGGCACCTTTCTGCTCCATCTCATGCATACCCATATTATGAATGAATGACCTGAACCCTCTGAAACTAGATTCTTGCCTTCTTACTCCCCCTCTCTTTTCCTCATTACTGACAATATCGTTCCAATCCCCCGCAATGGACCAACACCTTCCCCAGTTAAGTCTTGCCATCTCCAGAAACTCCCATTGGGATGCCCTCTCCCTCCTGTCAGTGCTAAGATAGACAAAAATAAGCCAATTCCACTCCCTCATCCCAGGACCCTTAACCTCCATCTGGACACAAAAATCATTTGCCACAATCTGCTTTATCTCTGTATTCACATCCCACAAAACAAGCAGCCCACCCCTAGACTCCCTAGGAGGCACCAGATGCCACCTACTGCCAAAACCCAATTTCCTGCACACAGTAGCTGTAAAAGCTTTTGATTTCTTGGTCTCCGAAAGAAAAATAACATTTGGGTGGTGGACTCGCATAGAGTCCTTGATCTGGGAAATTGTAGAGGGCCCACCCAGCCCTCTACAATTCCACACCTGAGCCTTCATTGATCACCTCGGGGCCATTTGAGGCTGGCCTTCTCCACCTTCGCATCCTCACAGTAAGTTTTCAGTCTTTTATCAGACACACCATCTCCTTGAAACTCCCCATCAACATCACCAAACAGCACCAGTTCTCTACTTCTTTTACTGATCTTAGCCTCACCATCACCCCTGCCTACTGCTGCTTTTGGAGCTAGATCAATCCCACTCTCATCCATCCTCGACAGTCTGCCCACATTACTCTTTCTCCTCTTCCATAAAGCCCCTTTTTTTAAACCCCCCGTCTCTTGCACACAATCTCCACTATTCTGGATCAAAGTAGGCAAATCACTCAGCCCTATTTCCGAATTCTCCACCTGATTTTGCTGACCTTCCACTACCATCTCCATAGAATTAGAACAAGATACCAATGCAGTGGGTACAATAAGAAGAGCCTGAGAATTCTGCGGTTCAAGCTCAGCACCCTTGTCCTTCTCTTCACTTTCCATTGCAGCCTCAGGTTGCTGATTTGATAATTGCACAGGAGTGACACTGGCTGAGACTATAGAATCATGATTAGAATGCT